AGGGCCGATCCAGCCCGTTTTAAATGAATAAAACTAAAAAAAAAAAGGCTGTACCCTTTTTTGTAATGATGTTTACTTTGAATTTATATTAGTTCACACAAACACTCCATCCAGGCTTTTGTTCCAGCCCTCCGGTCCAGTTTAAGAACCCATTGTGGCCTTCGAGTCAAAAAGTTTGCCCACCCCTGCCCTAGAGCCATCACTAAAATAACAAACACAATTAAAGCTAATGAGCCAACAAAAAAAGAGGAAATTGAGTTATTAATATGCTCACTTAATACACAAAAAGACATAAAACAAAGGAAGAGGGACAAAGAAGAGATGGAACTAATAGAACAAATAGCAAGATGATAGTTATTGACAAACTAGATCAATAATCATATCAAATCTAAGTAGTCTAAATACTGCAATTAAAACCATAGACTGTGATATTCCTTACAAAACAAACAAAAACAAAAAACCTGTATGCTACCAACTAGAAATGCACTATAAACATGAAGACTCAGAAAGTTCTCTGAACAAGTTATACCATGCGAACACTAATAACAAAAAAGCTGGAGCAGCAAAATTAATATCAGACAAAGTAAATTTCAGAGCAAAGGATGTCGTCTGGATAACAGAGGTCATATTCTAATGATAACAAAACAATCTAATAAGAAGACATAGCAATAATAAATATTTATTCATGTAAAAACAAAGCTTCAAAACATTGAACCAAACCAGCAAGGAGAAATAGACAAATTCATAATTATAGTCAGACATTTCAACACCTGTCAATAATGGATGGAATAACTTATTGATCGCCTTGGCCTAACTGACATTTATAGAACAGTTCACCCAACAGCAGCAGAATACACATTCTTATTGAGTGTACATGAATCATGATAAAATAATGATAAAAAAATCAATACATTTAAAAGAATCCGTCTTACAAAGCATGTTCTCCAAACACCAAGGAACTAAATTAGAAATCAACAACAGAAAGAGACTTGAAAAAGTCTCAAATATTTGGAAAGAAAATAACAATCTTCTAAATAACCTATGGGGCAGAGAACAAAGCAAAGGGGAAATTCTAAAGTGATTTTAACCAAATGAAAATGAAAATATGATGTAAGGACAGAAAACAGGCCTCTCCTTTTCTTTGT